CAGGAGCACACCCACGTCACTGTAAAACCTAAATATGTATCAATATTAACATGAACAAACAAGTCCTGCACTCTACCTCCCATCACTCCTGGGCGGTAGCAACGACCACAGTACTCATCAGCCCCAATACGTACAGTAAAAACCAAAGAAAAAAGTTACCTGAGCTCTTCCCAAATCCCTATGCATATTTTAACAAATGGAGGTTTTTTAGTTTCTCCAATGGCCATGAGAGAGTTTAGCCCATCTGCCACGTCAAGGCAAACCTCTCAGTTAGGTCCTACAGTAACCTTTCACCTTGCTTCCTTGAGCTTCTGGCAAATATATCTCTAATGAGACAGAAAGGGGTATTTTTTATATTTATATATATATATATATATACACCCCTACATGCTTATTAACCCCTAATAAGGAACACATGGGATGGGTGGCAGAATTGTAACATAGCTGTGTGATACAAGGGTGAATACAAAAAAACAAGTCCTGTGCTCAAACTCCCATCTCTCCTGCCAGCAGCAACGACCATAGTACACATCAGCCCCAATAGTACAGTAAAAACCAAAGAAAAAAAAGTTACCTGAGCTCTTCCCAAATCCCTATGCATATTTTAACAAATGGAGGTTTTTTAGTTTCTCCAAAGGCCATGAGAGAGTTTAGCCCACCTGCCACGTCAAGGCAGACCTCTCAGGTGGGTCCTACACTAACCTTTCACCTTGCTTCCTTGAGCTTCTGGCAAAGATATCTCTAGTTACCTTCTTGCTGTAATAAACAGATTTATAAGTAAATATTTGGGCAAATTGGTTAAATTTACACCTATGGAGTAACTGTATATAGCAGGATTCAAAATGTCAAGTACTTATGCTACTACCCAAGCCTTAAAAATACGTGTCACTGCACGCTTGGAGGGCCCAAGGCACACTCACCTGGGGTTAATGTCTACTCACCAGGGCTGAATTTTCACATGCCAACAGCTAGTGGACTAATGGAACATTTTAACCCTTGTATCAAGGATAATTGTCTGCCACTTTGATCTGTAAGTTGTACAACTCTATGTATGGAAATAGAGCATTTGAAATCCAAACCAGGATAATGCTTACTCATTCTGGTGTTAGGCTAACATACTCAAACTGAAACTGGTACCCAAAAGCTCATGTCAAGAATTTTGTGAAAAATATCTGTTGATATATTTGCAAGCATACATGATTGCAGATGAGACAAAGGGCCATGGGTGCTTTATTTTCAGTATTTATATGTATGCTCAATTGTAGCCCACACTAACTACATGTTCCATTCACTAGACACTTATACATGCATACATTACAAGGATACTGCTGGAGCCAATCAATAAAGAACACATGCAGAATCCAGAGCGCTTGCCAACTCATTCATTAAACAACCAAATTCAAAGCTCATAAAACATAACTCCCCTGGTTTTCACCCCTCGCTGTTACAGGTGCCTGATGCGGCAGCCCTATTTAGTCTTGCACTGCTAAGAGCCCCAGGAGAAAGCATTGCCCTATTGAGTTAATCTCAGAAGAGGTGGCATTAGGTTTATAGAATATGACTTGTCAAAATGGGCTACTTTAGCGTTATACAATAATAAAAAGTATCCATACAAAAAATTTGAAAAAAGCATGTACCATGACAGACACACACCATGACACAGACAGACCATGACACAGACACACACACACCGTGACACAGACAGAAACACAGACACACCATGACAGAGACACACACATACAGTGACAGACACACACACATACCATGACAGACACACACCTTAAAAAAGACACACAGACACCTTGACACACACAAACACGATAACACAGACAGACCGTGACACAAACACACAAACACTGTGACACAGACACACATTACATGGCACAGACAGACAGACACACCATGACACACAGACACACACACCACAACACAGAGAGACCGTGACACAGACACACACACACCGTGACACAGACAGACACCATGACACAAACAACCCGTGACACAGACAGACACACATTACATGACAGACACACACACACAATGGCACACACACACATTGCATGACACAGACAGACACACACACCATGACAGAGACACACACACACCATGACACAGAAAGACACACACAATGACACAGACAGACACACACACACACACCATGACAAACACACACACCATGACACAAACAACCCGTGACACAGACAGACACACATTACATGACAGACACACACACACAATGGCACACACACACATTGCATGACACAGACAGACACACACACCATGACAGAGACACACACACACCATGACACAGAAAGACACACACAATGACACAGAGACACATTGCATGACACAGACAGACACACACACACATACACTATGACACAAACAGAGACACACACACCATGACACAGACAGACACACCATGAAATACAGACACACACACCATGACACAGACAGACACACCATGACAGACAGACAGACACACCATGACACAGACAGACACACCATGACACAGACAGACACACACACACCATGACAGACAGAGACACACACACAATGACACAGAGACACACACATACACTCACACTGATACACATAATTTCTACCTGTGTGCTGTCGGCCGCAGGGGGAGCTCAGTATGATGGCGGCGGCATGGGGGAGCTGGCTCTTCTGGTGGCCGCAGGGGGAGCTCTTTCGGCGGCCACAGGGGGAGCTGGCTGTTCTATCTCTGCTCCCCCGCCCCAGCGCGCAGCTTAATGGGACCGGGCCGGAATATGACGTTATATTCCGGTCCCGGTCTCTTTCTAACGCGCGAGGGCAGGGGAGCAGAGACAGAACAGCCAGCTCCCCCTGCTGCCGCCGAAAGAGCTCCCCCTGTGGCAGCCAAAAGAGCTCCCCCTGTGGCCGCTAGAAGAGCCAGCTGCCTGCCCGGCCCCAGGTGCCGACGGCCCACCGGGAAATTTCCCAGTATCCCGGTGGGCCAGTCCGGCCCTGATTAAAGGTAATAAGACACTTCTCTGGAAATGACGCATATCTAAAAGTTCATACTCTGCTTTCTTTTCATTTATTTTAAAGATTTAGCAATTGACTTTAGGATTTAGTTCATTCCAGCATAGGAGATCTGACAAGTGCCACAGGGGACAAACAGATAGCGTGGAAGGACTTGTTAGCTCTTCCCTATATTCGAGACACAACCTGGGTACACATTGCATTGGAGTAGTTGGAACAGAAACATTGTTGCTTGTCGTACAGCTAATTGTAGTGGTTATGGTATGAATAATCTTTAGACATTTTCCCTTTCTGTTTTTTTCAAGCTAATTTGTGAAGAAGCAGGACTCTCCTAACACATACAGTTGTGGCCTGGTAAATGCAGAAATGTAAAATTGTATAAGTTTGTATTCTGCATACACTGATCAGCCACAAATAGGTGAAGTGAATAAAATTTATTATATTGTTACAATGGCACCTGTCAGGGGGTGCGATATATTAGACAGCAAGTGAACAGTCAGGATTTGATGTGTCTGAAGCAGGAAAAATGAGCAAGCAAAAAGATCTTAGTGATTTTGACAAAGAACAAATAATGACTGTGTCAGAAGATCTCCAAAACAGCAAGACTTGTGGGGTGATTCTGCTATGTAGTGATTTGTACCTACCAAATGTGGTGCAAGGAAGGACAACCGGTGAAAAGTCGTCAGAGCCGTGGTAGCTCAAGGCTTATTGATGTACATGGGGAGCGAAGGCTTGCCTGTCTGGCCCGATTACACAGAAGAGCTACCGTAGCTCAAATTGCAGAAAAACTTGGAAAACTCTGTAGCCACAGACAGGTCAGAGTGCCCTTGGCCTTTAAATCCGATTGAGCATCTGTGGGATGTGCTGGAACAACAAATCCAATCCATGGAGGCCTCACCTCACACATTATAGGACTTAAAGGATTTGCTGCAAATGTCTTGGTGAAACATACCACAGGACACATTGAGAGGGCTTGTAGAGTCCATGTCTTGAAATTTCAGAACTGTTTTGGCAGCACGAGGGGACCTACACAATATTAGGCAGGTGGTTTTAATGTTGTGGTTGATCAGTGTAAGTGCACATGAAAATTGTCCATTTTTGTACCATCTCTTGTATTTTGTACCATTTCTTGCATTTTGTACTAAATTGTGTTACTTTTTTAGAATGATTACTTTATTGTTTGTTGTTATCAGGAATATATCTGTTTTAGTTTCTAATTTTTTTTTATCTTCAATTTTCTTTTTTTCCTGTCTAATAATCTTTGTATTATACCTCCATATAATATATGCACTGATTGCCCTTCGCTTAATATGATAGAACACACCAGTTACTACTGCACAGAAGGTGGATTTGACTAAGAACGAGTGGTGGAATGCAATGGTTGTAATGCAAAGATGGACGCCACTAGAGTCAGAATGAGGTTTGACTCGTGGAGGCAATCTTTGAATGAAAGGAGGGGAGAATTCTGCTGAGTGGACTAATGGGGCTTATGGCATAGTGAAACAAGGCTTGAACTATCTGTTTCTGAAAGGTGGAACACACGTCGGACCCATTTGGCCACAGAAAGACGTGATTAATAATTCATTATACGGATATATAAACACCAATACACAAGTGGCTTTATTACTGATTGAGGAAGCCTGAATAGGTGAAATGCTTTTTGGACAAGCCCCATTTATTGTTTTATTGTGATTTTATATTTGTATCTTTATTTGTCTAATAAATTTGAATTTTCCTTAATTTGGAGATTTCCTGTATTTCTTTGGAGTGTAACACCACCCCAATAAATAGGTGTCCACTTTGCAAATACAGCCTATAGGAAAAGGCCCGTTTACATGTGAGTGTATTTCAAATTT